ACACTTTGTGATCATTGGTACTAATAATTAATATCTGTTATTGCAATTTTGCCCTTAGATGTCAAGTCAGGTTCAAACAAGTGGAAGTCATGGTCTCTGCCAGAAAGAGGTTACAGTCCGATATATTTTCTTTATGACTTTCCACTGTTAAGATTACTATCTCAAGATAGGACACTAATTGCCTCTTTGTAAATCCCTGTTAATATTTTAGAGAGAGTAAAAATTTTGTGGTCATGGTTGGAAGGGAAGGTCAGTGAGATCATTAAGTGCTATAATGAATACCAATGAGGTAGATGGTTGACTCAGATGTGCTAGGAATGTGTTCAGTGTTAAGTCCTGGGTTGCTTGCAAGGTAGTTACTCTGGAGGAGGAGGAGAGAAGTGGAGTAATCTATTTGAAAAATAAGATGGCAGTGGAACATTATCAGAAAGTCAGTTAAGAATAAAACTGAAAAGAAAAATTTGTACAACATTACATTTTCAAAAATACATTTTTTAGTTTGCTGGATTTACTTCTATTCCTGTGACCTTTAAAAATAGATTACGTTGTGGTAAGTTATTTTATCTGCAAAGTATGTGAAATATACTTTGTAAAAATAAGGACAATAAGTTTCCAGGGCACAATAAAATTGTGGTATCAGCATGAACAATGACTTAGAAAATTGGATTTGGTCAGAGCCCATATTTCTTTATCACAGATGGTGATTTTTAAATGTGTTTTATTGAATTTTTCTTATCAATACAAATAATTGAAAGCAACAATACAAAAATAAGGAAATTTACTCCAATAATAATAGATATTGTTAATTAACAAAAAAAATGTTGTCTGCAAGTCCCCTAGAATCACTGTCCTCTGTTAATTCAATGAAAGGTAGTCAGATTTCAAACAGTCTTCAATGTTTTTTGTACAGTGGGGGCTGAAATAGATCCTTGTTTTGCCATCAGCAACATTCTCCAGTGTTAGTTAAATGAAAATATTATTAATCAAGAATCATTCTTCCAACAGTGTGCAAGATAATATTGTTTTAATGTTTTCAATGGAAATTCCAACAAAACAATTATAATATTTTTAATTTGTCTACTTATATTTTCCAACATATTTTTATTTTAAGAGACAATCACCAAATATGCTAAATCTCCTTATATTCCACATTCTCTCCAGCTCTGATCTCATCCTTTGCTTAATTAATGAAACTTAAATAACCACAAAATAATCCCCACACAACTGCACCTCACTCATGAATCCAGCTGGCATGAGTGGTAGACAAGTTAGGTATCAGGGAACAGCTCTCCTCTGCTAATCCCCTGCAGCTTAGTTGGTAGCAAGTCTGCTTCCATGTAGAGTCTAGAGTCTCTGAATGGTAAACTTAAAGCAATGTAAGATGCCTGGAGAGAGTTAGGGATGTAATAGTGTAGTCGTTTAACCAATAAACAAAAACTAATAGGTTATTGCTATAGACTACACACATTTCCCTCCCCCCTACCAACCAGTAATTTTTTTTAGCAGGCTGGCCAGCAGCTTGGCTCAGTTCTGGCTCACCCCAGTTCTGGGACCTACCCCTGCTGTGGCTCTGCATTTAAAGTGTATTAGGAGCTGGGCGGGCAGGCAGTTTGGCTCAGTTCCAATTCACCTTGGGTTTGGTAGCTCAGATACACACACCCCAGACAGGGGCTGCTGCCACCCCGCACTGCTGCCTCTTTATCAGAGGCAGGAACACAGGGGGACAAGCAGCCGGTCTGCAAGAGGAACAGGTTTTTAACCTGGCTCCCCTCATGGACTAGCGCCTGCCTGGCACCTCATGCTGCTGCCAGCCCTGCCCCGCCCCCAGGGACTATAGAATAGTCAACTCACTGATAAGAATTCATGAGGTTACTCAACTATTCTATTAACCAGTTTTTAACATCCCTAGACAGATTTTGTGCTCTCTCAGGTCTTGTGTACACTAACCCCTCACTCCCACTGGCCCCCAATGCTCTAATGTACATGACATTAGCTGTGCAAAATTGTGGATTGTTCAAAGTAAGGTAATCAAAATCAGAATTGCAGTGATAGCTTAATACTGTGTGATCCACAATATCCACAATATTGCAAATTCAGTGGGATCTTAATCTACTATGTATTTGAGAGAATCAGTCTGTAAGTATGCCCATCTGTCTGTCTGTCTGTATATTCAAGAACCTCTGCTAAAGGGTAAGAGCTAGAACTACCACATTCAATATACAGCTTCCTCTTTTAACTTAAAGCAAGGTAAGTGTTTGGTTGTGCCAGGAAAATGGGATGTTCCTGGAATGGGATTGCTTCCCATAAAACCATACAGAAAAGAGACAATCACCAGGCAAGTGAAAGAGGCTTGCTAGAGGCATGACCCCCCCCCCCCCCCTCATCTAGGACAGCTGAGGCCCTAAGCCTCCTACCCCCAGGTGCCTTTTAAGGAAGGCAGAGAGGTCTGGTGCTCTCCCCTCCATTCATATGGGGAGCTGGCTGCTCCCCTTCATCAGAGAGCACTGGGAAAAATGCACAGTTTGCTGCATTACTCACTCTGGCTCCACCTCCACCTCCACCTGTCTTAGCCATCATGTGCCATGTGCCTGGCTGTGCCTGCTAGAGCCTGGCTGTGCCTGCTGGAGCTGCAGCAGTCATGGAGTGGCACTTTTCACCAGTCCCCATGCTGCTGAAGTGAGTGAGGGCTGAGGTGGTACTTTTTCCTCAGGGAAACCCGCATACTGAACCCTTCATCCACAGCTCCATCTGAGAGCAATGATTTAAATGAAAGATGTGCATTTTCATTTTATTTTCCAAAAATCAATAATTAATTGGGTTAAGGACCTGAGCAACACCAGATAAATCTTCTTGTTACAAATGATAAAGCAGTAGTTCAGCACATACTGTAAGAAATAAGACTGTATTAGAAGAGATGTTTTCTCAATAACCTAATATATTTTTCACCTCTAATATATAGATACAGATATGCAGGGTAGCCAAGGTGCATCCCACAATTACCTTCTTCTTCTTACTTATGTGGCATCATGATTTGACTGGTCTGAATGTGCAGGTCAATATGGATAAGACTATGTGAGGACAGTAACCTTCATACTTCTGTATTACAGATGAGAGTCAATGTAATTAGTACTTTGTCAGGCAAATTAAGTGACATTTTAAAGTAAAATCTACTCCCCCCTTCCTGGACTTTATGTTGCTGGAGTATGCAGAGAGTTTTCAGAGTGGAACTCCATTCCTAACACTGGGTCATTGTGCGTATTGTTGCACCACTCAAAGCTGCTCTTATGTACCAAGGCTAAAATAGGATCGGTATCCCCTTCACATCAGCTGCATAGATTCTCGGGACTGCATCGATTGTTGTATGTATGGCCAGCCATTTGCATAGTGGCTTTGAATTTCACAGCCCCACTTTACAGATCTGGCACTGATACTGCAGACCATAGGTGATTTTCACCATAAATGTAAAAGATTAAAAGACTTAAGATGTTCATGGGATGATCAATGTAACATGAAAGCTTTACAATTATAATTTAAAGTGGCTTAGCAAAGTGCTCCTCCTCATAAAAATCATTAGATTTATCTCCAGAGATGACTTAGCAGTGCTGTAATAGAGAAATAAACATTTAGAACAAGAAAGGAAGAGGGAATTATAGGAGGTTAAGAACTCGATAAATATATAATATTCAATCATCCGACTATAAATATTTTAAGTAGCATTGATAATGATGGATGAAGAAAAACAGTCTATTATATAAAATAATGGGGCTATCTGGAACTTCTAAGTACACACATAAAATCAAACATTTTCTTGTGTATTCTGCACATTTCTAGAGGTTAATGCATTTTTTAAATCTGGTCCATCCAATGAAAAGAAGTTTGTACTACACATAATAACCCCTACATTAGCAAGAAATGATGGAATCAAGATTTTCAAATGATTTCCACTGAGATGAGTACATCTTTACCATGAAAAAAAATAAAGAAATACTGAACAAAGGAAAGGAGTACTGTGGAAAGGGATGTAAGGTTCATAGTGGACCATAAGCTAAATATGAGTCAACAGTGTGACACTGTTGTAAAAACAGCAAACATCATTCTGGGAAGCATTAGGGGAGTGTTGTGAGCAAGACAGGAGAAGTCATTATTCCACTCTACTCTGTGCTTATTAGGCCTCAGCTGAAATATTGTGTCCCGTTTTGGAGACAAACATTTCCAGATGTGGAGAAATTGGAGAAGGTCCAGACAAGAGTAACAAAAATGATTAAAGGTCTAGAAAACATGGCCTTCAAGGGAAAATTGAAAGAATTGGGTGTTAGTTTGGAAAAGAGAAAATGGAGGAGAGACATGATAGAAGCTTTCAAGTGCCTAAAAGGGTGTTACAAGTATTCTCCTTAACATTTGATGATAGGACAAGCAGCAATGGGATTAAACTGTAACATGGGAGGTTTAGGTTGGACATTAGGAAACACTTCCTAACTGCCAGGGTGGTTAAGCACTGGAATAAATTGCCTAGGGAGGGTACGGAATCTCCATCATTGGAGATATTTAGGAGCAGGTTAGAGCAGGTCTGAGCAATAATTTTCACAGGAGGACCACATCACGAATTTTGGTATGTGGTGGCAGGCTGGCTCTGGGCTCCCGGAAGAGGCAGGAACTTGAGCAGAATGGATAGGGCTGGGGGGCTACAAAGAGAGTGTGTGAGTGTGAAAGAGAGACACTGAGTGTGAGAGACAGACTTGGTGACACAGATTCAATATGTGTGGCACGATGTATGTGACAGTGACTGTGTTTGTGTGTGGCACAGACTGTGTGTGACAGTGACACAGAATGTGTTTGCTGGCTGCTGCTGGGTAAGTTTCTGAGAGAAGCCATGTTCTGTCTCTTTAAGAGAAATCTGTCAGGCTCTGTTGTCTCCTCCTCCCCTGTGCCTCACTCCTCTGAGTCACTTGCCAACCATGCTTCAGATTAAGCAGTGTTATGTTTAAATGAAGCACACAAGATCTTTTATAGGGAAAAAGGCAGTACGCCGCATTTATTGAGAATATAACAGTTGCATATGCTTTTCAATCACACACACACAAAACATCTTGCATACACAGTCCTGCCAGACAATGTCGTATTTACCAGTCCAGATTCTGTATCAATCTAGTGGCCAGCTAGATTAAACACAGGGGGGAGCAGGGCCTTTGTCGGTCGATTGATCCAGTGCTCCTCTGGATTTGGCGTTGGCAAGATGAACCCAAAGTTCCATTGCAAAGCACTCTGCTTTTATAATCCTTTTTCCTGTTGAAAATCAATGTATTCTGCTGTGTCAGCCTGTGACCAGAGCATTATCTTTTGATGTCAGTGTTCCCAAAACATTCTCCGAGGCTCATCCTGTAATCAATCGTCTTTTCGGGGTGCTCACTTCACTTTAAAGCCGTCAATCTGCCAGTATTCAATCACCTTGTGAGTAGGGGTACGTATTTTGATGCCAGGCTGTCTAGTCTTTGCCCACGCTTGCTCCCCCTCCTTCTTTGGCCATTTGGTTCTGAGAAATAACTTTGCATCTTCTCTCGACACATTCATACCCCTTTCATACACATAAGCAATGTACAAAGACTTTCAAGGCTATGCGGCACATCAACATCTGTATTGGTATGACAAAGAGGCGTCATAAATCAAGCAATTAAGGCCTCAGCCTTTAACATTCTTATAATCTTCATTAACACAGACACAATATGAGATCCTTTCTCTCTACTTACTAAAACCTTAGAACAAGGAAATATAGGAGATATATACTTTACTAAAGATTTTGACTTATTACAATCTTAAATATGATTATATATTACCTTACATGACTACATTACTAAACCTAAAATACAAATATAAAAAAGAATAAAACTTTCACTCCTAACAGCAGTTCTGCTGTGTGTCTCCCTCTCCCTGACCCCTGATCTGCAGCGATGGAGTACACTGGCAGTGGAACAGCTGATTTCTGCACATCTCTCTCTCGCCCCCCCCCCCCCCCCCCCCTCTCCCCCGATATCCTGCGGTTTCTCCCCTTCCCCCCCCCCCCCCCCCCCCCCCCACCTGCTTCCCTGTTCTGCATAGCCGGGGGCAGTTTGGCTCCAGGACAAAGCAAGGTGGGGAGGGGGCAGCTGAACACATGCTCCCAGCTGCAAGTATGCATGGTCTGCTAGTCAGCTGGGTGGGCTGGAGAGAAATGCTTGGCAGGCTGGATCTGGCCCCCAGGCCTGCCCCTGGGTTAAACAGACATCTGTGCTTGGTCCTGCCCTGAGGGCAGGGGACTGCACTTGATGACCTTTTGAGGTCCCTTCCAGTTCTAATGTTCTATGATCCTAATACAGATTTTTAAAAGATTGCAACAATTTTGTATGATGGAATCCCCAGGTTATAACCTGGAACTAGATTACCGCTTTGCCCCCTTAAGTCTCCAGCCTGGGCTGTCTTTCACAATGCTTTGGTAGTGACATGCAGCACAACAGCATGTAGAACCTCACATCCAACTAGATTTCATGAATGCTCCCAACACTACTCACAAATCACACAAAGAAAGGTACCAGTGAATTTCCCCAGCTTCCCTGACTAACACCTTACACTTTTTTAAAAGGTCCAAAATCTAACCATGGCTATAGCTATATGGAATCAACTAAATGTAACTTTATATTTGATACAGTTTTTGACTCAGCTAAACTTTTTCTTACTCTTGCTCAAATGCCTGGGGCCAAACAAAAAATTGCTTTTAGAATATTGTGCTAACAAAAAACAATGCCAGATAATAAAATATTAATCCCATTACATACTATACAGATATGAGAGAACTAGAAGCAATTACCTCAACTTTAATTGTTTCATAGATGAATACAATTAGGATGTTATTCATTCTGTCTGTAGAGTCAGTGTAAAATAACATCCACATAATACTGTCAGAGTTTTCATTTAAAAGTTAGCTGTACCAATGTTAAATATATTAAAGCAATAAACCAAGAAATTAAACTTTTATAAACAGTAAGAACTCATTGTTTTGGAAATGAGTGTATAATAACATATTTGAAGCTCAGATAAAACTATAAGAGAGACTAGGAGCCTTGCTCTCTCTGCAAACTTTTGATTTATCTTTTTAATCATTCGTTTTCTTTGTATAGCAATTAAACATTGAAAATGAGCTCCAATCTTCTTCCCACATTCTTCTACCCCCATTCAACCATCTACAATGAAAAGTAAGTTAGCAAGAAACATTTGGCATATAAGTGGATCCTTCCACTACAGGCCTTCTATATAAACGAACAGAAATTAATCCTATTAGTGAGATTTATGTAAATTAACAAAAAAAATTGTATTTGTATATGTATCTATCAGGATTATATTCAAACTCTCTCATTTATCAGAACACCCAGAAAAACAAGAGAAAGTTCCAATTATATTTTATATTTTCATAATCTAAATGTAGTGGTGTTTACTGTTGGAAATAGGCTGACTGCCTTTGGAAACTGACTAAAGGCCAGAGGAATAATACATATAACTCATCTGTAATAAAGAAACTTTCACAAATCTGAAAACAAATATGAGATCAACTGCGAGAAAGTATTTAATCAGAAAAACATAATTGATCGTTGGGAATCATTTACAACATTTTACTAGATACCCAGAAATCACAAACCCATAATCAAGGAAAGCTTTTAAAAAACTGATCTGACTTAGAAGCAAAGTGAAGGAAGCAGTACTTAGGGTTAGCAGTACTTAGCAGTACTAAAGAGGATAGTACTGAATATAAATCAGAAATTAGGAATTGCAGAAAAGTGATTAGGGAAGCACGAGACACAATGAAAATCAGATGAACAGCAGAGATAAGGCAAATAAAAAGGAAGTCTTTATGTGTATTTGGAACAAAAATCATTCTGACAATGATATTGGTATACAGGCAGTCCCCGACTTACGTGGATCCGACTTACGTCGGATCCCTAGATACGAACGGGGTGAGGCAACTCCCGCACATGCGCAGCAGCATTCCCGGGGCTCGCTCACCTGGGTCCTAGGATCCTCCTCCTCCTCGGGCCGGCTCCGACTGGGGTCCCGCAGAGCTGCCGGGCAGAGGAAAAGTGCCTCCCCACGCCCGCTGCCCCCCCCACCCCTCTGCCAGCAACAGGCTGCCCCCTCCCCTGAGCAACAGGCTGCAGAACAGACAAAAGCAGCCTCTCTGCCCCTCCTCCCCTCTATACATGCCGGGCTCCCGGAGCGCAGCAGCGTCCCCGGGGCTCGCTCACCTGGGTCCTAGAATCCACCTCCTCCTCCTCTTCGGCCGGCTCCAACTGGCCTCTGCCTGCAGCAGCTGGCCACAGGGACAGGGATCCCGCAGAGCTGCCGGGCAGAGGAAAAGTGCCTCCCCATGCCAGCAACAGGCTGCCCCCTCCCCTGAGCAACAGGCTGCCGAACAGCAGACAAAAGCAGCCTCTCCGCCCCTCCTCCCCCTATACATGCTGGGCTCCCTGGGCAAACAAAGACTCCACCAAAACAAACAAAGTGCTGGCCTCATTGTGTTAGCAAAAAAAGGACCCTCCTCCTAGAACCCTGGGTGGTGTGTGGAAATAAAGCTATTAGCTCAAAGCATGGTGCAGAGCTGTTTGGTATTGAACAGCAGACAAAAGCAGCCTCTCCGCCCCTCCTCCCCCTATACATGCTGGGCTCCCTGGGCAAACAAAGACTCCACCAAAACAAACAAAGTGCTGGCCTCATTGTGTTAGCAAAAAAAGGACCCTCCTCCTAGAACCCTGGGTGGTGTGTGGAAATAAAGCTATTAGCTCAAAGCATGGTGCAGAGCTGTTTGGTATTTGATGAGTTACTCTTTTAGTCCTGAGTTTGTCACAGGGACAGAAATAGATGTGAAATCTTCTGAACAGGGGAACAGACAGCAAAACAAACATTAGAGGGGAGTTAACCTTTCCCTATGCTATCCAAAACTAAAAAAAATGTTTGGCTAGAGTTTCCCCTACAATATGTACCAGTTCCGACTTACATACAAATTCAACTTAAGAACAAACCTACAGTCCCTATCTTGTACGTAACCCGGGGACTGCCTGTATTATTGAATGGAAATGGTAGAAATATAAAAAATAATGCAGAAAAGTCAATATATAGAATCAATATATATAAATAAATATGAATAAATTTATATTCTGGGTTTAGGGAAAACAAGACAACCCTCCCTCTATTTCACTAGTATCTCAGGAGGATGGATGCTAAACAGATGCTTCTAAAGTCAGATGTTTTTAAATTAGCCAGTAGAGATAATTTGCATCTGAGAGTTTCAAGAGAGGTGGCTATGAAGTTCACTGGCCCACTAATCAGGGCCAGCTCTAGGCACCAGCAAATTAGGCAGGTGCTTGGGGCGGCACTTTGCCTGGGGCAGCATTTCAGGTAAGCAGCCAGTGCCTCCCCTGGCAACTCCTAGCCCCGCCCCCCTGATTTAAAGGGCCACAGCCCAATGTGCCCTGGAGCCTGCTGGCCGCCCCATCTCCTCTCCTGCTTTTCCCCTCTGCTGGCAATGCCTAGCCCCGCACTGCCCCACCCTGCCAAATTAAAGGGCCGGCTCTGTCTCCTAGTCCTGAGTCCTGCTCCTCCCTGGCGGCCACTACCTCCAAGAGCCTCTCCACTCCAAGCCATCTGCCACCCCTCCACCTACATCGTATGGAAATCCCAGATAAGATGCCCCCTTTCTGCCTAGGCTTGCCAGGTGTCCAGTATTTTCGCCTCCTGTCCAGTAAAAAAATCAGGAAATACCGGACACCTGGCAAACCTACAAATACTCAGCCTGCTGGCCCAGCCCCCGGCCTCTCCCTCCCAGGCCCCAGCCTCCGACAGCCTCAGCCCCAGGGACCCTTTGAAGTCTGTTCCTAGTATATTTCTCTTGTTCATGTTTGTAATGGAAGTAGAACCAAACAAGGATCCAGCACACACACACAGAATATTAATTGTTCTACACTCTTCAAAGAACCACTCATGCTGTTTCATAGATATTTCTTTAAAGAATTAAACTTCGTTGATCTGGGTAAACTTTTGTGTTTGATGTCTCTAAGGCAAGCTTCATTCCATATATAGTTGTATTGGGCACATACAACTCTCCACTCCAACACCTCACAAACTTGAATATATATTGGCTACTAACAAGATGGACACACAAAAATAATGTGCACATGCACATCCACTGATCTCAGTTTATCTGATAACGTAGATGTGTTGGAGCCACATAAGGAGCTACTGCATTCCAAAACAAATCTAGTTTAACAATACAAATATTTATTGATTTAATTTAGATATCTTATGTGCTATAGTTATCATAATTGGTTGACAAGTATGTTAAAACAGAGTGGTATTTTTAGCTGATTGTAATTGGTTTGAAGATTGATTAAGTATAGCCATAAACTACTTGAGTTTTAGATGTGGCACAAGTTCTCCCTTCTATTTTTGGTACTTAGTTTATATTTCCTTAACTATTTGTATCATGATTATGAGGGTTAGCCAGCAGCCTGGGGATTAAGGGGTTAACTACACCTAGCCAGGTGGAGTGACCAGTAGGAATGTAGGTGGGACTTTCAAACTGGGACAAAGGAATTTGGGTTTTTTCCTTTCTCCTTTTTCTTTTGTCTCTCGGGGTGAGTCCTCTGCAGCTACAGAGAGGGATAAGCATGTCTCTCTCTCTCTCCAAGACACCATTCCTCATTTTCTGTAAGTAGGGTAAAGTTTAGGTAGTTTCGTTAGGCTTTATTGTTTTAAGGGTTGGGTATGGGATCTGAGATCTGGCACTGTTTAAGAGATGTTTTGGCTTTTCTTTGTAACTAAGTTCTAGGCCCATGGAGTTTCTCCATGAGTATATTTTGTTACCTTCCCATCTAGTCATTATGCTTGCAACAGGAATATTGTTGTAATAATAAAAGTTCTTTCCTTTCTTTTTATTAACCTGGCATTGGTTAATAGTAAAAATGTCCGGAAAAGAGCGTCTACACTGGCCCCGATCCTCTGGAAAAAAGCCCTTTTCCGGAGGATCTCTTATTCCTACTTCAAAGGCTTTTTTCCGGAGGATCGGGGCCAGTGTAGACGCTCTTTTCCGGACATTTTTATTTAAATGCCGCGGGGGATATTTAAATCCCCCGCGGATTTCCCTATTACGACCTGTGAAATTAACATGCCCCTTTCGGAAAAGGGGCCAGTGTAGACGAGCCCATGGAGTTTCTCCATGAGTATATTTTGTTACCTTCCTATCTAGTCATTATGCTTGCAACAGGAATATTGTTGTAATAATAAAAGTTCTTCTTTTTTTTTATTAACCTGGCATTGTTTAATAGTGTGCCCTGATTTTTATTTTAGGGGTGGGATTTCCCAAATGATCTTTCCCCTGGTTTCTTTATCAACATTTGGGTGGTGGCAGCGGAAGTTTTATTCCCAAGATCTAGGTTTTTAAGATTTTGGGGGAAGTTTTATACCAAAGCCTGGTAGATAAGGCTTTGGGGTGCACTTGCTGGCCCCCACTTCTGCATTTATCATGGCAGAGTGGGGAAGAAGCCATGACAATTTGTGTTAGTAGTTTTTCATGCATTCAAACCACAATTAAAAAGTAGTCTATTTCTATAAGAACAATAAAGTAAAGATGTAAGGTACATTTCCCACTCTTAAAAAAGAGCTTTGTGTGAGCTGGAAATCTTGTCTCTGTCACCAAAACAAAACAAAAAAAATTGCAAAGTGCAAACGTGTAAAAGCCAACAAAAAGGGGGGGAGGCAGCCAAAAATTTTTTTGCTTGTGGCAGCAAAATACCTAGAGCTGGCCTTGCCGCTAATGTTAGTTTTCTATAGATTTCCAGTAGCCTTAAGCCATATCCTTGGGGGACAGGATGCCATGGAGGGGGGGAGAGGGCAGGGTAGTGGTGAAAAGGGGGCAAGGCTTGGAGAACCATAACAAATAGCCCTTTCCCCTTCTGCTCTGCCAGGCTTGCAGACCGGATTGCACAATTGCTCTGGCTCAGGATGGCCAATGGGCTGAGAGTTGGAGACCCCTGATTTAAATGCTAACAGTGTTCTGTAAGGTCACTTCCTTTTTTTCTTTTTCCTAAAAGCAAACATGCCAAGTTAATGCACATATAATATAATATTGCAGAACTAATCTTAAATGTGGAATGTCCTGAGGTATTCTTAACTTTGCTGCACTAATATTGCCTTAATGTATTTAATGCATTTGATATCTATGTATTTTGTATACATTGTTTTAGTCTAGCCTGTCAACTCCCATCCTCTTCTATGAGTGTTGTGTTTTTTACAGCTATATTTAAGTACCATGAATGAAGAAAAATAAAAGTAAACCAAACTGCTTGCCTTCAGGTTTCACTGAAGGTGAAAGTGTTACCTCCCCCCACCCTTGCAATAGCAAGAATATTTTCCATTTGGGATGAAATTCTATCCTACTGTGCTGTGTATTGCCATAGTCTCCAAACAAAGAATCTTTTCTTATGTATTGGTAGTCCCCGAGCTATGAGCAATATGATGGATTAGGGACAGAACTTCAGCTTTAGTGTGAGCTTTCTTCCTTTTATGTGTTTACATCACAGATGTAACACCATTTAAATATAGCTTTCTGTGGCTTGTTTGTTTTTAGTTTTGTTGACACTGTGGTAGGTTTAGCAATGGAGATAATAACAGACAGTTCTTTTTGTGGAAGCTAAGAACTAGCTGATTAATTGTTACTGTGTTGCACTCTAGAGAATATCTTGTAATTAAACCACAAAAAATACATTAAAGTAATGTGAAGGGTCTGACTTAATCCCACAAAAACAAGGGAATTCAAAATTAACTATGATGTGTGTGATGTTTCATATAATAGGCCAAGTGGTAATCTTTGGAAGGAAAAAGTGCTTAGGATGACAATAGTAATGGGTCTTTGTGTATGGCTAGAGAAGATTAGCTTACTCCAAATTATGCTCTTTGATTTTTCCTGGATTTTGTGTTTACAGATCTAGCTTAGTCTAATTAACAGTCATATTAAATTTTTTATCTATTTTTCTTCATTCAAGAAGCCTACT